TTGGTGCAATTCTCCATCCGTAGTGTAATGACGAAAAACTGAGGATAATTATGGCAGCGATTCTCTGAAGCGCAAATACGTTTTGGGATATCATTCAAATGATGCCACTCTGACTGAAAATATAGTGTCAGACATGCTGCAGTCTGCTCCAGGAAAATAAATGACAAGAGACGATTTTAGTTTTATATATTTTATATATATATTAGGGCTGGGGATTTAACGCGTTAATTAGATTAATTAATTACGGTGAAAAATAACGGGTTGAAATTATTAACGCACTTAACGTACTTGCCCTTCCTCAGACCTATACAGTATGTGGGTCATCTGACATGTCATACAGTTGATCGATGACAAATATGATGCAGGGTAACAACTCACTGCATGATGGAGCTTAGAGAACGTAGTTAGAATGTCCCTAAAATTCAAGATATGGGGCAAAAATGCCCGTTTGAATTTTTGTCTCATATTTACATCATATAGTTAAGCAATATCACACGAGTACAAATGTGATACCGATCTTATACAACAGTTCAATAAATAAAAAGTGAATATGTTATTTTAGACACAATGTCTGTTTTGCTCAATTTTGCCAACGAAAATATAAAGACAAAGCAGAATTGTTCGTCACCGAGAGACACGCAGCTGCATTTAATTTCTTAATCCACATTTCGAACGAATTTGGTAAACCATTAGGCTCGTTGGATTTGAAGCGGCGCTGCACAGACCAATCGGTTTATGACATCAAAGTACCACGAGAGCGATTCAAAAGCATAAGGAGTTGTCTGTTGCGGTACTTTGATGTCACACACCGACCGATCTGATGGTGATGATGATTCAAGTAGAACAAGCCTAATGATTCAATGGACAATTCATAAAGAAGCATTTACTTCACTTCTGAATGAATCAGCCATTTGAACGAATCAAATGAATGAATGACTCAATGATTAAGCCATGTACCACCACCTGCTGGCAGTTTTAGTTTATTATTTAGAGTATCATTTCATTAAAGAAATAATTTCATATTTCCATAGTAATAATAATACAATTTATAAAATAAATGATTAAAGGTATAGTTCACCCACCCAAAAATGACAATTTTGTCATCATTTACTCACCCTCATGGTCCAAAAGGGTATATGTTATAAATGTTAAGTTGAATCAAACTAAATATTTCTTGCTGAAGCTACTTTTTGTAACGTCTGTTTGATTCTTTACACAACAATGACTTTAAATGATCTTTTGGGAGTAATCTTTGATGTGATTAATTTGCAATTAATTAGATTAATCTCCACATCATGTAATTAATTAGATTAAAAGTCGCTTACCAGCCCTAATACTGTAATTAAAATCACTTCGTTCACCACACAATAAACAAGCAAAACAAACAAAAAAACAAGCATGCAACAAAAGAGCAAAAATGTTCACACAACATGACAAACAAACAATCAAACAAAAAAGCAAGCAAGCAACAAGTAAAACAAAGCAAAACAACCAAGAAAGTAGAAAAGCAAACCGTAATCAATTAAACAAACAAATAAAAAGACAATTTGAAATAAATGTTGACACAACATGAAAAAAAAAAAATCAAGCAAGCAAAAAGTAAAACAAAGAAAAAGAATATGCAAAACAATAAAAAAGCAATTTGTTTAAGTGGCTTTTGTTGTTGATTGCTTTTTGTATAAACAAAAAATAAAACAAAAATTGTGAATAAATGTTATGTTCATGACAAAATCTTGGCTGTCCAGCTAAATTCAACTATACAAGAAAAAATGTCCTTGGTAGAATTATATGTCATGCCAGCTGCCCATATTTACTAATATGTCCTATTTTAACATGATTATCAAAAGGTTATATGGCTACTATAGAATAAACATGCTTATTTCTTGTGCTGTTGCAATGCAGCAGACAGCACAACTCAATTTAACGCAGAGGCGAATTATCTGTTTAAATTGAATTGGCTGCTCTGTGCTGAGGTGGGTCTGCTGCTGCTGCATTGTTGGAGATGGGAATGGACGATCATATTTCTCTGCAGAGGGGAAGCTCTTGGGGGAAGAGCTTCACTTTCTGCTGTCTAATGCTTTGGTGGATAGCGGCTGTGGAAAGACCTGAATGGGCCGGCCATTACATTAACGTTATGCCACAGAAACCTCAGGGAACTTTGTGATTCCACTTCAGAAAATCACTAACAGGCTTTTATTGCCACCCACCGTCACGCTGTTAAAAGCTACAGCAGGATTTATTGCTTGAGGTGCTTGAAGGACCATAATGTAGTCGTATACTGTACAGTGCAATGGTGACACTGAAGCTGTCCTTGTCTTACATTGGTTCAGGTAGATCCATCGCAAATTAAAAGAAGAGTACAAGATGGAGGAGGACGGAGAAGAAGGCCAGATTGATTTTTTCAAAGATGATACCATTGATGAATGAATCGCTTTATTTTCGTGAATGAAACAAGCCTTTTAAAGGACAGCTGGTTCAATATGTTTTAAGTTCCAAGGTTGTATTTAATTTTCAAAACCATGTTATACTGAACACTGAAAAATTGTTGATTTTTTTGTTTGTCCTCTGCTGAATGACAATCAGGTACACGGCAGCTTGACGCATTAGGAATAAACTGCAGTGCGAATTTATGCGATTGCTTGTAAAACCATTCTTATGTAATTTGTTGCATGAATTACAGAGCCCCTATGTGGACATGGTGAAAAAATTACAAGATGCGAAACATATTTTAACGCTTCTGCATTCTCTCACAACACATTTGCATTCTCTTGCAAAAGTATTGCAGTCTCCTGAGAAACTTTGTTTTCTTGCAACGTGTTTGCATTCTCTCGCAAAAGAGTTGCATTCTCCCTTATTGTTCCCCGAAGAAATGTTGCACTCTCTCATACAAGTACTGCGTTCTCCTGAGAAACTTCGAGTTTTCTCCGAAGAAATGTTGCACTCTCTCGTACAAGTACTGCGTTCTCCTGAGAAACTTTGCATTTTCTCACAAAAAAATTGTGTTCTCCCAAAAGTTTTGCATTCCCCCAAGTAATGTTGTGTTGTTGTATGATAAGTGTTTGGCGTTCTCCAAAAGTACTGCATTCCCCCGAGAAACTTTGTTCTCTCACTAAAGTATTGTTCTCCTAAGAAACTTTGTTTTCTCGCAACGTATTTGCATTCTCTTGCAAAAGAGTTGCATTCTCCCTTATTGTTCCCTGAAGAAATGTTGCACTCTCTCGTACAAGTACTGCGTTCTCCTGAGAAACTTCGCGTTTTCTCAGAAGAAATGTTGCACTCTCTCGTACAAGTACTGCGTTCTCCTGAGAAACTTCGCATTTTTTCAGAAGAAATGTTGCACTCTCTCGTACAAGTACTGCGTTCTCCTGAGAAACTTTGCGTTTTCTCCGAAGAAATGTTGCACTCTCTCATACAAGTACTGCGTTCTCCTGAGAAACTTCGCATTTTCTCACAAAAAACTAGTGTTCTCCCAAAAGTTTTGCATTCCCCCAAGTAATGTTGTGTTGTTGTATGATAAGTGTTTGGCGTTCTCCCGCAAAAAGTTTTGTTTCTCCAAAAGTACTGCATTCCCCCGAGAAACTTTGTTCTCTCACAAAAGTATTGTTCTCCTAAGAAACTTTGTGTTTTCTCGCAAGAATGTATTGCGCTCCCCCAAGTAACTTTGCATTCTCTCACGAAAATAGATAAAAAAAAGATACTCACCATTACTCACCACTCACCAGACACTCACCACGAAAAAGATACTCACCATTATCGAGCAAAAGTTTTGCATTATCCCAAAATGATTGCATTCCATCGAGAAACTGTTCTCTTACAAAACATTGGCGTTTTCTCTGGTAAAAGTATCAAGTTACCTCAAGAAACATTGCATTCTCTTGCTAAAGTATTACGTTCTCCCAACAAACTTTGTTCTCTCGCAAAATATTTGCACTCTGTCTCAAAAGTATTGCGTTTTCCCAAGAAACGTTGCATTTTCTCACCGAAGTATTACATTCTCTAACGAAACTTTTTTACAAAAATTTACAAAAATAGTTCTTCCAAAAGTATTGCATTCTTCCAAGAAATGTTGTGTTCTCTCATCAAAATATTGTTTCCCCAAAAAACTTTGCATTCTCTCGCAAAAGTTTTGCCTTCCCCCAAGAAACTTTGTTCTCTCACAAACCATTTGCATTTTCTCGCAAAAGTAATATGTTCTCCCATGAAACGTTGCATTCTCTTTGATCTCCATTTGAGAAACTTTGATCTCTTCCAAAAGTATTGTGTTCTCCCAAAACGTTACATTCTTTTGCCGTTTTTTTTTACCAACAATTTTACTTTAAGTTCAACCAGTCCTTGCATTATTCGCAAAAGTTTGCCATCTTGTCTTATTTGCGCAATATTTGAATTCTATATGTTTACATCCTTTATAAATACACACCATACTTTATCAATATTTTTTCAAACAAACAAAATGAATAAATAAACTAACTATTGATTGTTTTTTGCTACTGTCTAAACATTTGAATAATTATTGCATTAACTTATTGCACATTAAAATATTTACAGGTAACTCTACTCCTATGGTCACAAACACTTATTATATAACTACACCATGATGATTATTAGTAGATTTTCATGGCAAAACAACACAAAATACTGCAAATAGCACTGGAATTGTTTAGAATAACTGTTGAAAAATCTGTTATTTTGGACTGAAATAAACAGAAAAAAAGTCATGTGAAGTCCTACATGGACTACCACACTCATTAAGCTCAGCAGAAGCAGATAAAGAATGTTTTATTTGTGTGAGCTTACATTATACTGGAATATTTACATTTTAAAAGATCAAATGTTAACTTTGGCAGGATTTCTCAAGTTGTAAGTTGACCAAATCATTTTAATGGTTCATGAGGCAGCAGACACCATATTGCTGTCCATCAGTGGCAGAGTTTGATTCTAGTCATGGTACGATGGAGAGGCTGGTTGTGGTTTGCTGAACCTGTGTGGGAAGCTGTACTCACCGCTGTGCTGGCAGCTGCCTGCTTGGACTCCTCCGTCAGGAAAGTTAGCATCTGTTCTACCTTCTGCTCTTCCTCCGTGCTGATGTAGTCCGTATCTACGCAAAACAAACACAACAAATGTCAGACTTTACACACCGTACTGACACATGGTACATTTGAGGAATTGCTCATTGGTGAGTTTTCCACAATGCAGATGCAAACAGCATGACTAAACATAGACCCGATTTCCAGCATCAGTGCAGAACGCCATTCTTAGCTGGCAGTAGTCATCCATATGCATCCTTTCTGCGATCCATGCATTTATACAAAAAATAAATTAATACATAACATGTTTTGACAGAAAACTCATTTTTTACACGTGTTAAAAAAATGTTCACTATATATTTGCAAGCAACATATAAATCAGTCATAAAGCAGTGACTTTTTAAATGCGCATCTAGGAAAATGTTTCCAATGTAGTTTTTTAGTCTTTTTAAAGAATACGAACATTTATTCACATCAAGAAAGTTTTATTCAGTAACATGTTTATTTGCATCAGCGTTTTACATGCAATAACCTAAGATTTGCATAAAAATACACTGAAAATGATTGAACTAGATTTATTTTACAATTGTTTTTTTGTAATTTGTTACATACAGTACGTGTGTGTGTAATTATGAATTTATTCTAAAATGCATTTTACTATATATTATCCTTGTTTTACTAATTCTCCCATTTGTATTAATCAAATTTTAATAATAAAAACAATGTCAAAAATTTATTTTCGTGTCAAAATGTAAAAAAACCTGAGCTCCTGAAATAACATTATAATCAGAACACTATTACAATATAATATTTTATAGCAGAGATGCTTTAGTTTTTTTTATATTTGCATGCAACATATAAATTAGAATTCCAAAGCAATGTCACATTTTTTATGGGCATATGTGACCCTGTATCACAAAACCAGTCATAAGTAACACAGGTATATTTGTAGCAATAGCCAAAAATACATTGTATGGGTCAAAATTATAAATTTTTCTGGTAACACTTTACAATAAGGTTCATTAGTTAACTACATTAGTTAACATGAACTAATAATGAACTGCACTTATACAGCGTTTATTAATCTTTGTTAATGTTAATTTCAACATTTACTAACACATTATTAAAATCTTGTTAACATTAGTTAATGCACTGTGAACTAACATGAACTAACAATGAACATCTGTATTTTCATTAACTAACGTTAGTGTAGATTAGTAAATACAGTAACAAATGTATTGCTCATGGTTAGTTCATGTTAGTTTATACATTAACTAATGTTTAACTAATGAACCTTATTGTAAAGTGTTACCATTTTTCTTTTATGCCAAAATTCATGATATTAAGTAAAGATCATGTTCCAGATTTACTGTAAATACATCAAAACTTAATTTTTGATTAGTAATATGCATTGCTAAGAACTTCATTTGGACAACTTTAAAAGAGATTTTCACAATATTTAGAATGTTTTGCACCCTCAGATTCCAGATATTCAAATAGTTGTATCTCAGCCAAATATTGTCCAATCCTAACAAACCATACATCAATTGAAAGCTTATTTATTCAGCCTTCGGATGATGTATAGATTGCAATTTTAAAAAAAATTGACCCTTATGACTGGTTTTGTGGTCCAGGGTCACATATAGGAATTTATTAAATAAATATGTTTCCATTGCAGTTCTGAAGTCTTTTTAGAGAATGATTACCCATTTAAAGCAATTTTAACGCACATTTGTATAATAAAATAATTATTTTATAATAAAAAAGATCAGAAATGATGCACTTCACTTTAGGGCTGCACGATAAATCGGAATGGAATCAAAATCGCAATTCGACAGAAGCTGCGATTGTCATGCGTATCTTTCAGTGAAGCATGGTTCTGTGATCAGTAGTAAATCTCCATCCAAAGGCCAGAGGGCACTCTCGCACTGAAACTCCAAATACGTCTCGCAGAAGAAACCCAGGAAATGCCTATAGCTGTTGCTGGATATATAGAAAATTGAACTGCTTTTATTGATTCAACGTGACTAATAAACACACGATTATGACAATATATGGTTTATTATTATTATAATTTTCATTAAAATAAAGTATATTTATAATGCAATGCCTTTATCACTGCTTAGAATACTACGGAATATGTTGCGCGCCTTATTCTGTGTAAGAAGCCACATCATATCACAGAAGGATTTATTTCAAACACTCGACTGACGTTATGAAGTTAGTTTGGAGTAAAAATATGTTATTAAATGTGGTATTTTTACATGCTTTCAGATGGTGCAGCATTTACTACACAGAGCCGTAGTTCACTGAGAAGCTATGCAAACAGCTGTCATTATCGCAAACGATTTCTTTGATTTCATAATCGCACAATAAAATTGTGATTTTTTTTGCGTAACTTGTCAGTGAAGTACAGCTCTGTGTAGTAAATACTGCTCCATCTGAAAGCACTTGATGATGATTTACTGCTGATTACAGAACCGGCTTTACTAAAAAAATGCGCATGACAATCGCATTCGATTAATCGTGCAGCCCTACTTCACTCATATGCATGTAAAAGGAGGCAGCAGTTATGACTGCCATTCAAAGTCCCCTTCAGCAGCTATGACTGGCACAATCAAAAAAGATCTATGCCAAAGAAAAGTCTTTCTAATTGCATTTACGCCATTTTTCCATCCATCACTCATTGGGTTTAATTGCTGGAGGGGAGAACGGTGTGAAAGACCCTCCTCCATCACCCTCCACCCATTAGCCAGGCTCATCATAAATGCATCGGGATCAGCTTGATAATTTTAGACTCTTGTTGCGAGCGCCACAGGTCTGTGAGGCTCGTTTTTCCTTCCTTCCTTCAGCAAATTCATGCTCGTCTAGTCTGCTACTGCCATAATTTGTCCTGACATTGCCAATCATCGCTGCTCCGTCCAATGTTTTGGACTGATAAACAGCGTTGACAGCCGGCGTCTTGATTCGAGTGGAAGACGAAGTGGAAAAAGCACTACGTTACGGCGTCTGATGCCACAGTTCTGATGATAAAATGTAGGTAGAATCACACAGCAGGTGGAAACAAGGTGGCAAGGTTTGGCTGGTTTGCATGCTTCAGTTAACAACTGCTGACAGATGTCACACTTACATGCTTTCTAGCTCTTTCTCTACTGACAGACATTCAAATGAAGCTGTATATTCTGAATATTTTATTATATTATGTTTTACAGTGATTTTTATAGTTTTTTAATGGTTATAATTTAACAAAAATATTTATATATAATACAATGTCATGTATATATATATATATATATATTGCTAGGCAATTCAGTCAAAAGTACAAAGGCAGCGCTATATACAGCATTGAAGTTACATAAAATAATGTGCTGAGATTTTGCCCTCAGCAAAATCTATTTGCTCTGGAACAAATAATAGATTAATGAGACCAAAGACTGCCCGTTAGATTTACCCAAAACAAAATATATCTCATGTTTAACCACTTATAGAGACACCAGAGCCAGCGGTAAATTCCAGAAGATCTGGCCGAGGTAAGGCTTCTCTCGGCGGGTTCATGAGCGCTGAACGGCCGCTGACGTCCTGGAAAATAGACTTTATCTTTATTAAAGGGTTAGTTCACCCAAAAATGAAAATTAGTTTTACTCACCCTCGAGGCATCCTAGGTGTATATGACTTTCTTCTTTCAGACGAATCCAGTCGGAGTTATATTAAAAATTGTCCTGGCTATTCTAAGTTCTATCATTGCAGTCAGCGGGTGTTGCAGTTGAACAGTTTTTAAGTCGTCAAATAAAGCTTGCACATCCATAATAAATTGTGCCACACACGGCTCCAGGGGTGAATAAAGGCATCCTGTAGTGAATGCATGCGTTTTTGTAAGAAAAATATCCATATTTCAAATGTAATAAACACTTTTCTCTCACTTCCGGTATTTGTCACACGCGGAAGCCGTTCTGGCGGATGACACAGCACGTATGCGCAGTGTGCACGCCTCTGAGATATGCTAGTCTCGCGAGTTTGTTTATAGGAGCAAAGGAAGCAAAATGTTTCCTTACTTTAGCAAAGGAAAACCAGTGTCCTCTTGGTTTATATCGAAATCCTCTGACATTTTTCTCTTTGCAAATCTTCGGTTTGTACTTCTAATTCATGACTGGTGTTTTGTTTTGTTCTCTCTTCGCATTCATCACCATTCACGCAACGCCAACGTCTTACGTCATCCGCCGGAATGGCTTTCACGTATGACAGATACCAGAAGTGAGAGAAAAGTGTTTATTACATTTGAAATATGGATATTTTTCTTACAAAAACACATGGATTCGCTACAGGAGGTCTTTATTCATCCCCCGGAGCCGTGTCAGGCACATTTTATTATGGATGTGCGCGCTTTATTTGACGACTTGTGAACTGTTCAACTGCAACACCCGCTGACTGCAATGATAGAACTTAGAATAGCCAGGACAATTTTTAATATAACTCCGACTGGATTCGTCTCAAAGAAGAAAGTCATATACACCTATGATGCCTCGAGGGTGAGTAAAACACAAGCTAATTTTTATTTTTGGGTGAACTAACCCTTTAACAAACCGCATATTTAAAGTCCAAACAAGTACATTCTCGCCTAACATGCTCGTAAGACTACATTCCGTGACACAAAACAGTATTATTTTTCAATTATAGTGGATTTGGGCATCCGCCATGACACTCATGTGAGAAATACAACAACTTTGGCAAGCGGAGTGATACAAAAGGTGAAACGGCTGTTGGAGTTCTGTTGAACTCTAATATCAACAATCTTATCAGCCAATCAAATTCGAGGACCAGAAAGAACAGTGGTGTGTATATATACAGTTCACGCTAATTTAAAAAGGTATCAGCTTTTAACAGCTTTTGTCGTTGTTGTGAAAACCTCAAATAATAATACAAACAGAACACTATTATAATACAATATTATGAATATTATGCTTTAGCTATTCATTATTCATGTTTTCATACAGTAACATGATTACTAACATGTAAATTGCAAGTTGTCAGGTTGCTAGCAAAGCGCTTGAGTTTAGCGGCATTCATTCACTGT